TAGTCAGTCAGACTGATTTAATGTTAGTTCCCTTGCCGTAGCCATGTCATGATAGTCCTCCAATCGGTCTTCAACTGGCAGCCGCCGCTCATGCAGGACGATGCCAAGATCCTGAATGGCATGAGAGGCCAAGGTGGTCGGAGGACGCGGTGAATTTGTCAGAAGACTTTCGCAAAGTTAGGATTTCGCAGAGCTAGGAGGTCCATGTTCCTTTGACCACCGATCCGGGATTAGTGCATGTCTCAGGGCAGGACTGATCTTGGCTGCACAGTCAGCTCACCAAGGCATGTACGTTTGGCAAATGGATGTTGACATGATTTTGTACTTAGACACACTCAGTGGATTTCGTGGCATAGTCTCAAAGTGTTCATTGTCAAATAGATGATGCACAGAATATCTAATGCCGGTTCGGTTGCGTTTGAGAAATGCTGCATTCAAAAACATGCAATCAAGGAATTGAATCAAGAACTGCCCTGATGAAGCGATTCGGCGGATGAAAGAAAGCCGCTCAGGCTTCGGACAGCATCGAATGAACTCGTCATTGGAAAGACCTGGCGGCGGGCAGTGGAAAAGTCAATCGGAGTCGACTGAACGTACGACCTCATCACCCGAAACTCCCAACCCATCCCATCCCTAATGCACTCGTCATTGAATCATGATTCATTCTCTCATGCGATTCCGCGATGGACATAACAGGATGAAGCACATTAAAAACGCAAAGGAGAGTGGATGTACCTACATCAACGGAATGGAGCTGTCGTCGCAACCCAACATGTTAACATGTTTTGCCCGACCGATTCCTGAATGCTGTCATCATCGAAGGGTCGTTCTAAGACTCTAAGATTCAATGCCTGTTTTAGGCAATTCCAAGCTTGTCCAACTAAAGGACAAAATTCATGCCATGCTCCATGCACGGTTGGTTTGGGGATGTTTGGGGTCAATCAGACCAAGACAAATCCTTCATCATCGGCTGGCTGCTCCTGAGCCTGCTCATCTTCTGCTGGTCCTGGCCTTGCTGATGATGCTGATGCGGAATTCAGCCATTCGCCTGCTGGAGAGGCTGATGGCTGCGAGGTCATGGATGCTGCATTTGCAGCTGATGGCTGCGAGGTCATGGATGCTGCATAATTTGCAGCTGATGGCTGCGAGGTCATGGATGCTGCATTTGCCCGTGATGGCTGCGAGGTCATGGATCCTGCAGAGGCTGATGGCTGCGAGG